TTAATCATTCCATGAACTCGACAGAGCACTGAACTCACTTTTGTGAGTGCCACTCTTAAATAAGCTGGACATAAATGATCAAAAACATATGACTACATCTACAAATAATCGAAGCAAAGCCCACTGATTATTTAATAAGGTAACTTAGAAGCGTATCGTTTTAGTAAGCTTCTAAATGACAAAGTTTCGTCATGCAGAGGGCCACAGACTTTGAGCTACGGAACAGTGTCGGAGCCGCCTAATTGAGCTATGAGACCCTTCGACAAAAGTGAGTAGAATGCGGGAAAGCAACGTGGGACGCTGGGGCTGCTCAACAAGACCACACTTGTAAAACCAAGGCGAAATTGCACTTCGAAATTTGGTGTTTTTTTTTTGTTGAGATCATTGATAAAGTTAAAGGAGGCTTCGAGAGTAAGTTAGAGGAGTCACTTCGACGGTAGTTATTTCATACTACTTTGCTCAGATTTTCCTGTTTTATAAGAACGGCTGAAAATGATACAGCCTTTGTTTAGACAAATACGAAGGCACTTCTGAGACCTTTTTATGTGTGAGTTTTACACGTCCGGTATCGCCGCTAGGCATTCCATCGAACGGGTGGCCCCCAGCCCGGAAGGAAGTGGGGCTACGGCCGGGTTCGAACCTAGAGCACAACTATTGCTAGCGTACACGTACGTTACGCTCTAATATACGCTAATAATCACGACAACACAGTTTATGTTGACTTAAATAACTCGTAGCTGTTAGACTTTTAATTAACCGAACATATTAAAGAGCCTAGTTTCTGATAGGTTTCGTTGGCTTTTTTAATACCCGCTTCAAAAAATTATACCAGCTGTAAAAATTTTTCGACGTACGGGCAGGTCCGACTCCGAACTCGTTCTTTATTCGGCATCATCCGACCACCAAATATCGGCTTCACTCTTTCTTGCAGCCGGTGAGAGGTACGAAGCATACGTGAATGACTTCTATCTAGCCGATAAGAAGGGACTGATTGCTATTCCAGATCTGTATAAGATCCATAGCCAGGCCAAGTGTCTCATGATGACATCAAGCACGCTGCAGGTCGCACTAGAATTGCGCCTTAACCCTAAAATATTCTAGACGGTTTCTTGATTGATTTTGTTCGTATTTATAACTCACGTAGCTGCGGGATATAGTGCAAGAGACTTCTAGTAGGCCTGAATTTAAGGGGCATGATATGGCAATAAATAAAAGTGGATCATATACCGGCATGGCAAAGAGATATAAGAAGGTGTCATGAGATTCGGTTGGCGCTTATCGCTTCGACATGCAGTGTCACGGATCAGAAGTCCAATATAACAGGTGTTGAGAATCTGGGATCATCGATGGTTGGGCCGTTGTTGCACCTGGTCACGCCCAAACGAACGAAAGAACAGCAAGAATTTGGGAGACTGAGGTGTCAGACGTCTGGGAGCGTTCATGTAGTGCTGTGTGCCCGTGTGTCGGCTCAAAACGCACAATATATTCGTAACTTTACTAGACGATAGATTAGAAGTGATGATGATGATGATGATGATATGTTTCAAGAAAATGTGTTACAAGAAAAGCTAAAAATAATTTTCCTACAAAATATTAGTGGGCGCGGCGTGTTTCATGGGATAGATTTTTCGTCAAAGTTCACTGATTCATGGTCCATTTTGACTGATCCATGGCTCATTTTGCAGGATATACGAAGAGTGGTTTACAACAACAGAACAGTTTAATCTCTATAAGACATGTCTGTTGATAGCACGAAATTCTGGTGACTTTCAGTGTAGAAGACAACAAACATATGATAATCCTATTTATTTCCCTATATTATTATCCTATAGGATTTCCTATGCGCGGCTCGAGTAAAAATTATCTCAGTGTTGGTTTAATATGTGTTATTGTGTTACCATCGCTGTGTCTTCCATACCTGGATTCCTGACGTCACTCTTGACCGACAAAGGTTAAAGGCACGACAACGACATACGTTCATTGCTGATAAAATCTTGGTTCGTTACGTAACAGTTATCGTTTATTGACGGCTGGCAGAAACAAGTTCAAACAATCTCTGCTTTCAAGCATTTCGTATTCGGATTAAATGCAAATTTTCTTAAAAAAAAAAAACGATTTTTCAGTTCCAAACCACTTAACGAAGTAATATTATTCTGCCAGGGTAGAACGATTAAGCTATATAAACATCTTAAAGCATGCATATACCTACGACCCACTTTGGTGACTACACTGGCCAGAGACATGAAGACCACCGATCTCTGTCCTTTAACGACATCACTAACGATCGTCGGGAGAATTTCTGAGTGGATACGAAGATGCATCGATGAATGCAAAACTACATAGTTACGTAAATATACACTGCATTTTTTTTCAATTTAGTCTCAGTCCTTGATTGATCGTTCGCCTAACTCTTGTACAGTGGCCTGTACAGCAAGGCCAAAGTAAAAAAAGCTTTCTTCAGACTTCTATACAGGCTAAGATCATAATTATAATCACTTGATAGGATCTATACGTTTCAATTATAACACATCGTCAGCACGTCCACAGGCGTCGAAAGCATTCGTAGAACTCAGTAATCAAATTCTACCTTTAGGTATATAGGACAGTCGCTCATTGAAATAGGCGTATACTAAAGAGTGTGAAAAAGCCCTTGTAAAACTTGTTCCAATTTCACTAATTCCATCTTTCGACAACATCTTTCACATCTCATCAACGCCTGTCTCAACAAGCTACCAATTTACTTCCAGTAAATTGGTGAATTGTTTTACTAGAAAATAATAAGACTGAAAAATATATCCGTAAACAACTTAGACGACTTTTCCAAGATCATTAAGCAATATAAAACGTATTGTAAAAAATCTAGTCACAGTAAAAAAAAATGGTATATATATGCTTCTTTAAGCACCGCCCTAGATATTATATGATGATAGACTACCATCAACTGAATCTGGCACGATCTATGACGGTGTATCATGAGGACAGTTTGAGCATCGAGTTGAATATATACATCGTTTACAATATTTACACATACATATTCGTGTCGCAGCGTACTTGGTTTTTTTTTTAAAAAACTTCTAAACTTAAATCGTACTGCTGCATTGTCGTTTGCTCTGCGTTGTAGCTACTTAATTTTGAAAAGAAATTATTATCGCTGTTTATTATGCAGTTGCGAATTCTATCAGAAAGCATACGCGAAGCCCTAAAGCTAAAAAGAAAAAAGAAAGTAGATATTTCTAATGCCCTTTTTGTCAGTTAATCGACAGTCAGCGAAACGTTACATTTACTGAAGAATCGATTAAACCTAAAACAACCAGAATTTAGCAACAAACGATGGGGCGGAGGGGTGGCCTTTCGTCGGAATCGTATTATTTCACGCACAGAATACAGGGCTTTTTGTCGAGGTGTTTTCAACTGTGTAGCAATTCATTTCAAGATTAATTTTTTGGAGAATATAGAAACACGTGTGATGTATTTGCTTTCTAATTTTAGGTACACGTTGTGGCCGGGGGTTCGTACCCACAGGGTATAGACAGACGGTGCCAGCCAGTCAGCTAACCGTTTGTGTGTCTGATGGAACGCCTAACGGTGACACCGGACGTAAAACTTGAAACATATATGAAAAGGATGGGCTATTTGAACGATGGATTACATCAATGAGTTGTGCGATATCATAGGTTTATGCTGACTGATAGTTTATGTACGTATATGGTACAACTGCGTAAAGAGAGGTCTCATTGACCCATATTTGTTTTAACTTTGATTTTGTAACGGCCGTATTTATTCGCTTTAGTTCTGGCAACTACCGATGACTGTGTTGACGTAACGAAACGCTTCTAGCGTAACTCTGGAATAATTTAAATGTTTTTGCACGACAACGTTGTAGAAGTCAATGATGAAAATGCAAATCTCACAAACTTGACGTGAAGAAACATGCAACAATACTTTATATTGATTGTTTTTATATGTGTACGGTAAAGTCGTTCGCTGGTGTGGCAAAAGTGCTAATCAAAGGTTACATATTAGGATCTGAAGGATCACGGTTATTTCGAATGTTTTCCTCTCTAGGCTGTAAGTGAACGTTCAGACACATACCATAAAATAATAGATGTACTTTCTACCTCTAGACTCTATTGGTAGTTCCCGTTCTCGCACATTAACTATTTGGTCACTCCTCCTGATTGATCCTAACAATCACTCGTTGACTTCGATCGTGCTCGCCATGGATGACATACGGCCCGAAACTTCGGCGAAGTAAAAAATAAATGCTTTACAGGCTTGCAACGGGACGTTTGCCACCATCAGATTCGACTTTTAAAATCTAAAAAATCCGAATACTTCTGTATAAGTATTCATACACTTTGTTTGTGTTTAAGGATAACGAAAAGAAAGTCACCCCATTTACTTTTCTTTTAACTATATTCAGTAAAAAGAATACCTTAGTAACACTATTGTGCTTCAGTTAATAACTAAGAGCTACTGCTGCTTAGTTCGAAAAAAACAGGCTTATTTGTTTGTTTGTTGAACACCAATTGGAAGGAATTTAACAGTAGTTCTTACATTTGACGTTTAGAGTTCATCGTTAACAATGGCTTACGTCGTTTGACTATAGCGCATGCCGTTAAATCGGCACAGGCATATTTCGAGTACCGCGGCCAGAAAAAAGCGCCCTAATTTAAGGCCTATATGTTCATGATACGTGAGATATATAGATGACAACGGTCTACAGCATTTTGACGTCGTCACAGCGACTGCTCCGCCCCCATCAATTTCGTCGTCGTTTATGATGATTTCCAGCTTTCCAGTGACGTTTTGCACATTCGAATAATTACGTATGCACGCGTGGTAGTCTTGGTTGATCATATGCTACAGCTTCCGAGCTACGCGATTTAAAAGCGACTCATTACATGACTTCAGTGGCACGTTCACTCACTCACTCGTTCACCACTATAAATGTTCCAGCTACCGTTACGATAGCACACGTTTCCTGCTGGTCTGTTGATGAAACTAGGGGCTATATAGGTTGGTAACAAGGAGCTATGAAGCGCTTTGAAGCCAGCCCTATTGCCGTGTTCATACTGTCAGCCGCGTTATGGAGGTCTTCAGAGGCTCTACTCATGAAGAAGATGATGAAGAGCGCAATGATGATGGGATCAATGATGAAGCACGATATGTCTGATTGGTCGATGCCACTGACACGTGAGTAATTACGATTTGTAAAATAACTCTAGGTCGTTGATGTTTTACGACGGTGGATACAATGCGGACTCATATTTAGTCGGGGTCGTATTTTTAAGCGTTCGTTAATTCAGTTTTTACGTAACCGAACTGTTTCAGTGATGCCGCCGGATTGGCACTATACTCACCAGACTGAAATGGATATTCATCCCACGATAGTGATGAACGCAATACCTAATGGAAAGACGTCTGCCGTCATGGTAGAAGACTGGCACAGCCACATGCCCCCCTTGATGATGAGCATGAAACCATCTATCGAAAAAAAGGAAACGATGACCATGATGAAAATGATGACAAAAATGAAAGACGGCGCAGAGATGGCGCACGAGGTAGCCGATCAAAAGATGCGCATGCACATAAGTATGCATGCTGCAAACGATAAACCTCCTACTGCAATGACTGTCGAAACTTCTAGACCGCCTTGTAAAGTTAATCAGATCAGTGGAGTCATGACTGTAACGCCAAATACTGAACCGGTAATGGCCAGACCCGAAATGATATCTGCGCCTTTAATGGCGGTACCGCCTCAGATGATGCAGCCCCAGATGGTCCAGCCCCAGATGGTCCAACCCCAGATGATCCAGCCCATGCAATCGCCCATACAGCAACCTGTTATGATGATGCCCACTAACAATGCGTTCCCATCTAATGTCATGGCTAGCCGCATGGACCGACGGGCTTGAACGAACACACATGAAATACGCGCATGTTGCTCGAGTTGGAAGAATTAATCGGACTGTCCGATACTGATCAATGTCAGATATATACATATAAAAGACTCGAGACTTTTTAATCGTAGCACGATATTATACTTTCATGAGATCGGGCGCGTCCGAACCACATTCGTCCGAACATTCATCGCAATTTGCGGTGCACCGTTAGACCTATACCATTCTGTTGATCTAGTCAGTTACACCATACTAATTACATACAGATACGTTAACACGCCGTTGATAGGCCAGCTTGCACGTCCAGCCTATCGCAAAAGCCTTTTTTTAGCGAACGTAAAAAGGGCTAATCGTGCATATACTAATCACAATATACGCCTTGAATAGGAGCATTAATAAAGTACATTGTTGTGTGTATACGAACTTAATGAAAAAAATGAATGTACTGCCTTTAGTATTTTATCATTTGGGTCGTGACTTGAAAAGGAAATCATAAATGGAATACGGTATCAGTTACGAACGTATCATTCATCCATGACGTACCATGACTAACCAATAAACTACTGGAGCACGTATGCATACCTAGAGTAAGTCAACAAAGCTAATCGTGTCTTCGTATTTTTCTTGTCTGTTTGTCTCATTAAAGGGTTTAGGTATTCCTGTAAAAAAAATTGCCTAGTTAAGAAGCCAGCCCAAGATCAATACTCAAGTGCTATTTGAGACGAACACACGCGATGAAATGGCAGGCCTGTGTCGTTACCAGAGCTCTATATAAAATGAACGGAAAACGAGGACCAGAACATTGTCGTCGTCGTCATTGTTTAATACAATGACAAACAGAATCTTCGATGTTTTCGGTGTCCTGGTAGAGCCCTTTACCATAACGATAGCATGGAAGATCGGAACTAGACAGTTCAGTCATTGTAAAGTGTTAGGCTTAACGTAATTGTCCTAGTAATAGGAGGCCTAACGTAATGGCGACGCCCTGTTTGAGCATCATCAATTGGATGACTTCTCTTTGCCGCACGACGTAGCTTATTCTACATTTAAACCGTTCAACTGTGACTTTATATTCGTTTGGTTCTATGAAATATTCATTATGGCTGAACGAATTTGCATCGTTGTAGCACGATGGTGGATAAAACACTGAAACGCCTGACGGGATCTTTCATGTCCGCTAAACATAAAAGAAAACAATAAAGTATATTTTTTCGATACATATATATATCTATCACAGTGTCCTTTTTGATCATTCTTCAACTTGTAACAAGCCCTCGGCTCTCAATTTTTACAACGAATAGAATTACAACAATACCGCTGATAACAATCAGGAAGCCATAACGATTGTTCTTCTAGTAAATTTAATTGTTAGCATGCTACTAAAATGTGTTAAAAGTTGCATTATAAGAAGCGCCAACGATTGTGAAATGTCGGCAGACGTTAGCTTTTATTGACTACATGTCGAATAATTAAGGACGTAACGTCATACGGTCTACTCTAGCGGGCCAAACATTCGTCTGCTAAACGAGAGAAAGTAAAGTGAAGAAAAAGCGTTTATCGACGACTAGACCAGCTAAGCGTCAGTTATACCTGAATCAGAGATCCAGCATGCCAATACATGCACATACACACTATGTGTCAATAAAACGAGGCTATCTTAGATATTGCATTGTAGTGCAGATCGTCAATATCTTTTGTTTGCTACTGTAGTCATAAATTACGCGCTAGAACAAAAGGTATTAGTATGGCCGCCATTTTCTCCATCCATAACTCTTTTACTTACCTAGCCTTTCTTCACTGTCTTTTTTTTTGTTGTTATTGAGCATTTACTAGATCTCAGATGCGTTGCCGCCTACTTTTAGCCTGGTTGATTTTAACTATTTGGACGTTCGACCTGGCCCGTGCATTGCCAAAAAAAGCATTGGCAGCCGCCATTTTTTACAAGAATCTGAATCCATCGTCCTCAGACGATTATGTTTCGACAATGGTTGTAGAAACGCTAATGACGCCGATGTCGAGAAGCCAAATACAGAGGTTATGACAGACAGTGGATCTGTTCCTGTAAAATCAACAAGCATTTTCGGCGAAATCTTTACAAATTCATACAAAAAAAAGTGCCTCTAACATCTGTACCTTTTTTTTTCGTCTACTAATGTCCATTAAAGGTTATCTTCTCGATTCCATACTTTTTTCTAATGGGCTGCTGTAAACGTATTAAAACCTATAGGATTGTTTTACGTTAGCTTCAAAGACTCTAAGCTTCGGCTGAAACATTTTTGCTGAAGACTAGAGGATCAACTGGAACATCAGAAGTATTTATTTCGCTTTCTCAGTGTTCAAGAAGACTAATGCATATTCACTTTGGACAAGTATTGCAAAAAGTGAGGATATTTATGATATTATTTAATGTTCATTTGTCAAATGCGCCGTAAGCTTGGAGTAGATGTTCGTATAGGCCTATCATTTCGCTGTTCCATTTGTCTATGTTTTTCTAGTGTCTGAAAATTCGCAGGTAACTTTGGAAACCGAGATGCGTACGGCGTAACAACGGAAGCAGGTGAGAGCTGACATAACGCAAAATCCTGCTTAAAATTCTGGTCTTATAGCGCTCGCGATGTCATCGTATGCTGGAAGCCATACCCTACTGATGAAGATGATGCCCAAACTTCAGCGGCCTATGCCACCTGCTAGAGCCCAAGGTCTTTTGAAGAACAGGTGCTTAGGTGTACATAATTACGATGATAAACAGGGGACGGAAATGAGACCGGGGAAGTACTTAACACGCATATATTTTCCAAGGAAAAATAGCGTCATCTTTAGAGGTTAATTTATGCTGAGACGATTAAAAACGTTTTTTAATTTTAGAAATGCAAAGCGGTCATGTTTTGCCAAGCATTATTATTTAAATCCAATTTATTTGACTTTTGCAATTTTTCGGATATTGGCCGAAGCCGATAGGAATTGCGTGCTCTACGTAGACATAGCACCACCCTCGCAGGTGGGAGCTTTAAAAATGATTGAACTGTACTACACTACACTTAACTATAATAGGTATATCCAAGAGCATTCTATATCATTAGAGAACTCGGGCCATGCCATTGTCAAGCTGCTAAGCGACTGCGGTTGTCATTTTCTATTGCCAGACAGTGTTCCATTAGGAAACAAGGACACACGCTGACGTAATGCAATTGATTCAGCTTATCTTGTGAACTCGTTTAAACTTCCTCCAGTCCTTTATGCCAAAGCGACCGGGCTGACACGTTCGGGAACTATGACAGGAAACGAGAGCGAGAGAGAAAGGTCTGTAGAGCGACTCAGAATCCGCATGTGCAAAGTATAGATGTATTTCAAATAATGAACACTCTATGTGAATTGACTCAGACAGGTGTGGCCTCAGGCAATCTATACCAACCCATTTGGGTCGAAAGCAGCCGGCATAGTATAGACAACGAACCAGTTCAAGCCATCTTGCGGATTTTCCGCCAAGGAAAAAAGGGGCTATCGCATCAGGACGGGGGTTAGCGGCTGACAAAAATTCTATCTGACAGAAAAAAGAGTTTTAGAGGGAGCGTGTCGCGTACGGCACCCCCAATAAATTGTGTAGGTTGAAGTTGAAACCTATTCGTCCGTAAGGTGCTTTCAGGTCTTCTTTGTCCTTACCATACGGACATACGAATCATGTGGCGATGCCTCCACTTTTTTTCCACCAAAAAATCCTAAATAAACAGCGCAGCTATACGTAGAGCAACGAAAGACAAACATAAATTGCTTTTCAATAAAAAATCTGATTAGTAGAACACATGATCTCTTGTTAAGAAAGAAGAGAACGCGCATACCTATAAAAAACCAAAAGAGTTTTTCGATGAATGTTTCTCAGCAGCAACGGCTTTCTAGGAGCCCAAAATCACAGCATGTAAAATGTATCATTTGCTTTAATTTATATCTATAAAGTAATTTTACATTTAAATACAATTAATCGTCGTACGAAAACGCCTTATTAGAGAACGACGAGCACCAAATAGTTAAACACTGACGGACCGCACGCATTGATTGAAGTACATTATTGCCATATTGGTAGAAAAACTCTCTCATAAGTCTCTCATAAGTGACCGCCTGTCCTTTGATTCGCTCCTTTTTTTTGGGTATTCAAAATCCAACTGAATTATCCGTTCTCATCGTACTGAACACATTCATAATAATATTATTAAACAAAAACAAATTGCAATCCTTCCGACTGCTCGTGTTATAGTTCTAAAAAAAGATAAACTATTTGAGTAGGACTTTCTTTATTGGCCACGTTTTTGTTTTTCTGAAGTGTGTGGTTTATATCGTTATCAGAGGCAAGGTTCTCGTGTCCCAGTGTAGAATATTTAGGAAACAAAGGCGCGAAGAATTCGAAAAGACATCAAAAGTACTTAATAATTCAGATATGATTAATCCGGTAGCTTGACTCTGACGTTCGCAGATGTTTATAGAAACCAGTGTGTTGCTGCTCAGTTTTTAAGGGCTTCAGATACACTTCTTGCCTTACGAATATTAAATAGATGTTTGCAGTTAGTAATAAAGCCCGATGGTTTTCTTAAAAGAAGCATTCTTCCAGTGGTCTTCAGTCCCCTTTTCTGCTTTCGTAGCTGAGGTAAAATCAGTCGTTGAAAAAACTCCTTACTCCTTTACGAGCTTAATGACTTAAGTCTTCTACCAGTGATGATTATATTCTACTACTTAGCGTCGCAAAGTTATTTAATATTCTTAACAAATGTGCAGAAATACCTCGAAGGTGTATAAATAGGCCAATGATCGTTGTAAAGTAGCGTAACTAAATCACTGACAGATACGTGACATGATGATGTTTTTCATGTATCGAAACTTCGTATATATTAAATAGAAGCTAGGGTCTATTTTTACGAAGGGTAGATGATTCGTACCTTCTCAGTTAGTATTGTTTGCGGTTGTCCATTACGCCATGTATGTTTAGATGAAGGCAAGGCCAAGCGCCTCCTTCTCTAGGGCCTTGAGTCCGCCTACAAGTGACGGTTTGCTCTACCCTACATGATGAAAATTTAAGAAAAATGAAGACAACTGGCCCTCGAAATGTTCACTACGCAAAATATGAAACGACGTTCGCTACATGAGAAATTGTCCGTATAATGTTCGTCGACAACCATACTTTATCATCACTCCACTGACGCACTTATAAATTCGGCTCAAGGGGAACCCGAAACGAACATAGGACGGAAAGAAGGCCAGCGTGCTAATGCTTCGTGCCGTTCATAAAGCGCCTGTATGAATAATGATCGTCGTGCTGATGAAAATGCAAGGCTTTTGGTTAAACACGACATCGACGTGGATCATCTATAACGAATTACTAACAAGTGAGCGATTCGATCTGAAGTCGAATACCTCACAAAAATAGTGCTATGCCACATACCGGATATACCCAGCGCCACGCTTCTACCCAATGAGCGCGGCTCCGTTCCGCATAAGATACGCGGCCTGCTGCTGTTTTCGTCAGTGTATGTCTTGTTGGTTCGCGTCATTTGTGTTCTAAGCGTTTTTCAGTATCGACGCGGAGCGTTCTAGAATAAACCTGAGGATGAAGCTATTCATGTTATCACTTGCCATTGTCCTCGTGTTGATGTACGTGCAAAAGACCCAGGCGTTTAAGCTTAAAAAATATAAAAAGGCCGCGTTTGCCTACATGCTTTTACAGGCTTCCAAACCTAAACTAGAACCAACGATGGACATGATGATGATGATGAACGGTGAGTCTTTTTGCAGTGCTCGAAGTGTTGCCTTCGTACAGGCCTGGGATAACAACTATTGGTGTTACATGTAAAGTCTGTTGTAGCTGCTATTTAAAAGTCAATGTTCACTGGACTGAGTATGTATGTGCTTGCTGAAACGTCACTTTATGGTAATTTGCAAGAGCTAGAGCTTAAAAGCACGTGCTTCTTTAGTTTTAATTAATGCATCCTCAAAAAAAGTATATATATCCAGAAAAAAAAAATGTTAATTCAATAATCAATCATGTACACATTGAATAAGATCATAATAAACGTGTTGTTTTTGATTGCCAAGTCAATACATGTAAGTTTTTTTTTTTTTTTTTTGCCTGCATTTTAGGAATGATGATGACTCCTATGCCTGGCATGATGGTGCCAGCAATGGAAATGAAAGACCCTCTCGAATCAGAAATGCCCTGTCATATGACGGAAAAAGACATCAAACCGATGCCAGCAATGATAATGATGATGGATTAAGAGCGTACTGTACAATAACAATCTTCATGTTAGTAAACAAACCTACCTCGCCTCTGTCAGCATTGCATACAATATATACTCACTCAAATCTAACCTAAACAAAAATAAACCTGAATTTTCTCTCTAACAGTTAATATATTTAGGCGGTACACCTAAATTTTCGTTCAATTTACTTGGAAGACTCGTTGTCATTCTTGTTTGTCAAATCTTATTTGTCAACGCTAGTGAACTACATACAAATTGCAACATGGCCATAAGAGAACGTACTTTCCTATTCAATTTTTAGATAAAGCCAAACAGAAGAGTAACTCTTTGATGAAGATCTTGGTTTCTGTGATGTCGATGACTGCACCTGCGAAGACATCTATGCCACTTGTTTTATAAATGTTGTTGTCTTCTGACGTTATAAATAAATACTTTCATTATCGCAATTTTTACTCAACGGCGTAACGTATTACTAATCTAATAAGAAAGATATTGTTTTGATGAAGAATGTGAGATAATAAGATGTTCTAAGCGTCCAATGAAAACTCAAAAATCTAAATGATACGGGACATTGTAGACAGGCAGAACGATTTCTTAACAAGCAATACGAACTATGCAAAAGACAGCTTTCTTTCTAGGTGGAACAGCAATACAACTGCTAGTAATCTTCTTTTTGCAGAAAAATTTAGCTTCCTATAGACTTTTCACAAATCTGGATTTTTGATCATTCGATTGTATCCAAAAATTGGTCCCGATAGAAAAGTTGTGTATAGGAACAGGTTCAAAAGGTCTATGCATTGACACATCCTGATATCGACTCTACTGGTGCTGCAGGATTTATTCAAGTGATAGGATTAGGAAAAGAATGACGATAGAAGATGCAGTTCCTTGTTTAACATCATCCTGTGTCCCACACGTCACAACTAGATCATACGCATACATACACTTACATACATACCCACTGAAACTTCGTGGGACTGGCACACGCTTCTACAATATGGGACACATACATCCGTCTGTCTAACTGACATTATATTGGCCCTGCTCTACGGCCTTTGGCTCAGCGGGAAGAATGACCAACAAACCGAGTATAATAATAATGACGCTCAGTAGCAACATACAGCAGAGAACAATAACGGGTAAGGACAATTTGTGTGTGAGCCCAAAATGACCCACATTAGAAAAGAGTCTGCGAGCTTTCGGAAATGGCACCGGAAGTCCGCTGTCACATGCGATTCAACCTTGCACAGGATGGCACATTGTTCCGCTTGACACAGACCGTCAGCGTATTAGATAGCAACTCTAGCTGTCGTTGTAGTAAGTCTGGATGGCGGATAAAACAGAGATTGCAAAGCGTCCTGCTACATGTCTGAGCTCTTTTGTGATGTTCTAGACTTTGTACAAGGAAAGGAATGATGGACAGCCGACGGCGAGAAAACGGATGCACAGGGTCAGGCAACGATCTCAGAGCTGAATCACTCCCATCATGATCATTCGAATAACGTTGGGTGATGGTAACATTTCTTCAGAGAGTAATATTAGGCGTGCCACATATTTAATAACATAGGATATATACTAACTGACGATCGTAAACTTTGTTTCGCTTACGTGACAAAAAGGTCGATGACATTACTATTTGTTTAAAAGGGGCTATATGTAACTTCAACAATTGACTGCAGCCCGGCATAGAGACGTCCCAAACAGTTCTGAGCAGACCGCGTATCGAAATTCCATTACCTCTAAGTCGGCCGCTAGTGAATGTTAACTTGTAGGGCAATAAGCGTTACTAACTGCTTTTTGAAGTTCAGCTTATCCTCGCTTCACTTCAGGAGATTAAATACCTAATACTCTGTATTTAGAAGCTGGCATGAATTTATATTAGAATATATATGGGTATTGATTCATTCTAGAAGCATTTTGTTCACCGTGCACCTTCGGCTCTACGATACCGAACTGGGCCCAAACTGAAATATTGAGCTACCCGGTTTTGTAGAAAATACCGGCAATCAATGATAGGCGAAGAAGCTGTCCATTGATACTTGCTAGTTGGAAATCACCGTGTCACGTGGAATCCGTTGTGAACAATGTTTTTTTCGTGGTTCCCATTTAGCCTTTCAGAGCTGGATGACCACCTGCTGCTGTGGACGTTTAGATGACTCGTAAATCCATATTCGACGACTAAAAGTTCCTATGAATTTTCATAAAATTCGGTGACTTCAACTTCACAAAAAATGTATCGTATAATTGACTTTACCGAATATCAGTAAAATGACATAGAATTTGTCTACCCAGCTACTGTGTGGTGTAAAACTAATTTTACGTTTCGAGATTTATGTTTGGTACCGTTGTTAAGCAGTACTTTAAGGACCTCAGGCCATATCGATGAAATCAATTTGTCCATAAGGGGTTTTCAAGATGGTTAGAATTAAAATACATAGATAGCAATTGGTTACTGATTAATCATACGATTGACATTTTATTTTTGTAAGATAAAACATGGCTTATCCAATAATTCAAAACTGAAGGTGAAAATACAAGACGCAGCGCCACCAGACTGAAACATCAGATTGGACGGGAGCCTGCTGTCATTGATGCAGAATTTCATATGCCTGACACGTGCCACTTTCGTGTCTTGCCATCGAAATTAGGCTTCAAAGTCGGCCAATAGCGGGACAAATACTCATCTCCGGCATACGTCTACATATATAGTGCCACACAACAGCGGTGCTGGCCCAGTTAACGCGTATGCACTTATACGTTAAATAGAGCAGATCTATAGATTTCACTTTCGTTTTAGGTTCCATGGGATCTTTTACCACTCAGGTCAAAAGCGGTCGTTCTAGACGGAAAATTTACTCAATTTGTTTAGTGTACCATATATGGGTAGCAACGTGGAAAGACTCGCGCATTCCGGAGTCTCGGAGCGGAAGCTTCTAGTTCAAAGAGAGAACAGCGTCACTGCAACTTTTTGAAAGTTACTAAAAACATTATACAAAAAGATACTGAATTACCCTAAGAGTGCAATAGAAAATCGAAAATTGACCCTAAGGTGATCAATAAATGTATTTTAAAGATGACGTTATTTAAAAATTGAGGTGTACGCATTTTTACGAGATGCAAATGTTTAACTTTCTCAAGCCATTCTAATCAATATTTTTTTTGGAATAGCAATATCTCTCGATATCCCTAATATATCGTTCACTAGGTTTCTGCTGTACCATAAAGGTTCTTATATGTTTGTCTGTTTGCCTGTCGCACCATAAACTACCCTTTGAATTCCTTCAAGGATCAGGCTGATGTTTCTGAGTTGTCAGAGATTTATCCAGGGAAGGCCGACGCAGAAGATGAAAGACTTTTCTCCATAATGTTGAGAGCTTGCTTTTCCCCATAGCGGGTAACTTTGCTGGCCGTAAGCCGATGCTCCCATCCTCATTTTCATTTTTCATGTTTGAAAACAATACCATACCGACGTTTATATGGCAGCTATCAGCATCGTCCACGCTGATATATCATCAAAGGTTTTTTTTTCTGTACAAATGGTACGACGGCAAAAACGGTGTGCTCAAGGGGTGCTTCAGAGCAACGTAGGAGCGGAGCGAACTTTGCGGGATATGCTCTACTAAGGAGATGCCAAATTTGAATTGTGATAAATCATTTATATGGTCGATTCACGAGAAGAGAAAAAATAGATACGCTCAATAACGTGGGCTTGAGGATACAACAAGGCGTCATCAATCCACGTAGCATTTATGTACTGATGTTTGAATGCATTCCATGATATATGATTTTTTAATATCAACATATGATTGGCAAAATTAGCCGTTGGCAATCAAGCTGCATGGCCATGGTGGCCTGTTACCCACGATGCCAGAGGTGAGTCGAACCGTTCTACTGGTTCTACTACCCGAGAGAAGATCACAAAGGAAACTTGCAGGCGAAAACAGGTAATGACGTCGGTAAATTACGTGCGAATAAGGTCCCAACACCGATAAACGACACATGTGAATCGGTTGCAAAGGAAAGCTGCTGGGAGCGATACCCTCGGAACAGGAATGAACGCCTAAGACAAAACAATAAAGCGGAAACTTTTACAGCTTACGATAGCTTCTCTCAACGAGAATAACGGGGGAAGAAAGACTCCAAAGCAAGCAAGCAATGATCACAGCCCCCAAGGGAACTGGAACAGAAGCATAGAAGAGGCTATGTCTCTCACGATCTGCCCGAAGAGCTTGCTCCAAAGAAATGGCTGACGCTGACATAGTAGTTATTGGCGAGTCTAACATTGGTCTATGGAACAGTTGGCAGATAACATGGAGTCTCCATGGTATAGCGTGCATAAAAGACAGAAAAGGCACTGCGACAAATAGGTTGGGCAGCTAGCTTGTAACCCGAACGAAATTACTGAAGACTTTAACGGGGTTTAAGACGGGTGTAGAGGAATCGAAGACAGAAATAGGAGATAGTCCAATGACCATTGCTCGGAATCTTAATGCGGTATCAGAGGTATGGATAATTGGCAGCTGCAAAATGTATCAAGTGATCCGACTTGATGACTGAAAAGTGTTTGAAGAGAAGGAAGTGCTAAGCGATCATGATCTTATATAGTTTTTTGTATATTCCATGTAACCAAGCAATGATCCTGATAGCAGAACGAGGCGAACGTACCTGGGAAAAAGGGAAAAGAGAGGCCATAAACCGCTGGGTGCAGAAACATGGAGACCCACAGAGTAGGGATTCACAGCGACTCCTAGAAGAAATCTGCGGAGTAAAAAAGTCTCATAAGTAAAAAATGAAGAAATTGCTGAAAGCAGCATGTAACCGATCTAGGAAGAAATTTGAACAAATGAGAACCGGCAACTACCTAAACGCATTCTAAGAGGCTATTGGAAATTAGAAACAACTGCCGGAGAAGGTTTCGAGTAAAATGCAAGAACCCTCATGGGGTTGCCCTTATAACTTCGTAAGAGGAAAAGCCGGCAGGGTAAATAAACTCTGCTAGAGAAATAAAAAAATACTTCTTTTTAGTATTTCACCAGCCTTTTGATCGAGCTGAGTTTATAGGTCCAGACCCTCAAAAAGCGATCTTACATGTTACAAGGTTAAAAATATTGGAGGTAGAAGAATGTATCAAAACAGGTAAAGCGCCATGTCTGGAGGGAACTCCGACCTCAGTCACAAGCACTGTTTGAGGAGTTTTCTATCATGATCACTGTAGTTGCAAGGCAGATTCTCGGGGCGTTACTTACCACACTGTAAAGGAGTAGATCGTGCTAATCTTTAAAGGTAAAGATTCCTGCAGACATGTATGCTTGCTACGAACATTGACGAAGGCATACAGCCTGTAATTTACCAAAGGATTAGAAACATTGTCCAAGGAGGAATTCCTCTGTCTGACAGTGAGGTTTTTGGAAGCACAGATCAGTGCTAACAGCCGATAGGCAGGTTGTTAAATAGGGCTGAGAACGTGAGGGAAAACTCGATTAGAGCAGGAAAAGGTTTGACACATTATTTCTACTGACGTTAAAAAAATGCTTTCAATAGCCTTCCATGGCGGGCAGTGCTCGCATGTTTGAAGGAAGGAAAAGTTGTGCAGTGTTTAGAGTTTTTGGTTATAGACTACCTGTAGGAAAAATCGGTAATCAATGGAGAAACTACATTTTCTATAATAGCTGGGGTTCTACAAGGGCTTATGTTTGGTCCTCTCTTGTGGGTCTTGACGTATGATAATGTGCTAACGCTAAGGAGTCTTTCTTTGAAAGATGAAATTATTTCCTATGCAGATGGTTTCAATTTCACAGGTCCGATTGGAGAGGAATTTCAAAGGAAAGCAAATTAGATTTTAAGAGAGATCTTGATATGGTGGAAGAAACACGGGCCTTTAGCCCCCTGCCAAGTTAGAGGTTTTATTACTCGCCAGCAGGAAAAATTGCAGCATTCCACACCCACTTTAGAAAGGAAAAAGTAAGCTCGTTAAAAATAGCGAAGTAAATGGGTATCCAACTCGATCACGCAATGCGGGGAGTGTGCTACATCAAGCAAGCCGTGACCAAGGTATCAACTAATTTAATGGAAGTTGTCAGAATATTGGCAAATACCATGGCCCGCAGGAAGAGAAAATGCGTCTCACGGCAGTAGCAGAGTTGATTGCGTTTGTCAGAGCACCCATCTAGACATACCCGAATCTATGAGGTTTACCATCAAGAAGCAACTTAAAAATACTCAGCATACCCACAAACTTAAGGTTATCCAAACCTTTCGCGCAATTAGTTCAAACGCGGCCTTGGTCCTGGAAGGCCCCATTTCCTGGGACTTGAAAGAAAAGAAGGTGATATTCGACGGGTGATGCGGAAGGCGAGATCTTCAGAGTATAGCAAAGAAAAAATGGTGATGATCTTACACGATCTTAAGAGTTACAAAACTATTTTCAGATGGCAGGGACCCCATCGGACATGTGTGTTCTTTGCATTGCGGGTTCTAAAATGGAACACCACACGTTAGCGACCCAGACAGCGCTCATCCATACTACAGAATAACACCTGGCAGAGGAGATAAGATTCTCTCTAGGAAACAGCATGAAGAGGTTTGCATTCTTCATCATCTTATTACGAGAGCGTTGGAGTACAAGTGAGAGTCTGGCACAGCAGATCTTGAACGAAAAAAGTCGTGACCAAGTAAGGTGGCAGACCATATTTTGTCAAACTCGGGAAGACGCCCGGAAGAGTCATACTTTCGTGCAGGGAGCTGGCTCGTTAGGAGGGGGCGGTCCCTGCCTAGCCACTCTTTCTTATAAGCCTATAGTAGTATTAAATGAAGATCTGGGTTGATTCGCAACCTTAGGGGAGAAATTGAGAATTAGTAAGTAGAGATATCAACAGGAATAAGCCCAAAGCTCGGCCCACATGAGTTTGCTTACCAGTATGCTTTGATGCAATCGGTCGTATGCAAATGTATGTCGTATGGAAAAAAATATCCAAGTCTATATATAAAAAAATAGTAATAATAATAATAAAGTAATGATAATTTTTTTTTAAATCAAGCTGTGCACTCGGATGCTCAACAGCATTTCTTCAATTATTTCTCGGGCGGAACTTTTACGTTAACGGTACGTTAGCCTGTGATTCAAGTCCCAATAGATGCTTCCTTGTGCTGTCATCACATCCTGACAGACACATCCATCCTTCGGAACGCGCACAAATCAAAACCCGATTAGACAATGTAATTGTCAGAATTAGTGTTAACACACAAACTGCTAGCTAAGTGACAGAGAAAGCTCTTCTCACACTACATTTAATAGCTGGGTTCACGATTTCACATGCTCGCGGAAACTGTTGCCGCTTCCATGCTATGCTACATAAGAATGTTTAATTAGCTTATCTAAACCTTTTCAGCTTCCTTGCATGGCCTATCGGTGCCTAACGGCATGCTGCGTCGCTTCGTCAACTATTCCGATCAGCAACATACGCCAAGGATCATTCTCTCAAGAGAATGATCCAAGTTCTGTTCAGTTGTAATGAGGAGCGGCAGTTTAATTTATGGCATACATTTATAGTCGTCATAGGTACGACTTCATAATACTTCTTGAAACTTGCGAATCCAAGCCCTTCGACCTGCCTGTCGTGATGTGACGCTCGTTAAAGATGATATCGTAGAACCGAGGAGTAGTCGATGTAGTACTACAGCCTTCCGAGTTGAGGGATATCTATCGAGGAGATCACTGGTGTTGTTCTGCCACCGGTGGTCCTTCTAATACTGCTGGCAATCGCGATTTTAGACGCTTGACACGCCTACGTTTGAGGTCCCTAGAAAAATGGGTAGCCTATGTATTCGTGTAAGACTTGCGAGTAGAAAGAGACAATCGACTAAGCGGGTGGCACACTCTGAAACAGTATGTATCGGTGGGAATCAAACCCCTTTCACAATGAGCAGCCACTATTTAGGATACTCATATTTAGGAGAATTTATTCGAACTCGGTCTCAAGCCGAAAACCCTGTTCCCGGTTTCAGGCGACCCAGGCATCGACACTTACAACGTACTAAAATTTAGCCGAAGTGCTAAAATCACCCATTATTTATCCGAGACCGCGCCGATAGCGCCCGTGGCTCAGCAAGACTGGTTTTTGTAAACTGGTTTTTGCGGAGAAACTGACCAATTGTCACTCGTATATGAAATCACACTATAGTTTTATAAAATCTAAAATATTTAAATACTAGAGGCAGCCCATTGGCAGTAGCCTGTGCTCAGGAAGACAAACTACTCATACGATCAGGAATAGGAGGACAGTGCAAAGAGGAATTGTAGCAGAAGTATGCGATGGCGAGCACCATGCCACGGACCCTGCCCCGGCGAAACGTATTAGTACTTTGCTGTGTTGGTTTCTGCAGTCGAAGAAGTCTCCAGGACCGAATCTGATAGGCACTGAACACCTTAGGGGTGTGGCTGACACGTTCTCCATTGGACAGCTTTATTCAATGCCTGTTTAGAACATGAACAGCAAACAATAAAATACAGTAAAGCACAAAATATGCTACTTTGAGAGGTGTAATCGCCAACTGAAAGAGGCGATTTATGCCGTTAATCTTAAATTTATATTTTATATGGCGAACGTGCTCTCAGCATATGATCAAGGCGATTCCACAAGGAAAGTCAGTTAGTATAGTTTATCCAATCAGTTGACGTAGCATAGGCAGATAACGTGTGTTTCATTGCTCTGTCTCTACGACTGAACGACCTACCTTCCCAATATCGAAATCGGGAGGCGCTGCCTGATCTCGACAATCTTGTCATATTTAAAAAGAATCTGTTTAGTGTCGAATAGAGTCTCGCAAGGTACTCGTTATACTGGTAATCAACATGAATGAAACGTCTGTGATGGCGTTCAGCAACGAAGAACGCCATATCTCTACCGACATGCTCTATATATATATATATACATATATATATATGGGAACGACAGCTCTGAAGTACTTGACGAGCTTCAGTTACTTTCGCCTATTTCACCCGTTAACGCCAAACCTTTGCAGAACGTACTACGGACGGAGTACGGTGCTTAATGGCTAATATTCGCTGAAACCCTGAAAATGACGTGATGTATTGGCCATGATCATTTGTTGCTTTATTGCGAAAAAAGGACTAACTTTTTTCTTAGTAAAAACAACAACTGAATCTACGCCTGCCACAATAAACAAAACCAACTGTACATTTCTATTGGAAAGATTTGAAAAGCATGAAATTTCTATCAAAACATATTGTTTCATTTGAAGTTTCATATATATATATATATATATATATATATATATATATAAAATAAGATGAGAAAATTTACCACTTTTTGGATTTTTTCCTAAAGTACCTTCTTTAATTTTTTTTTTTTGTATAGATGCTCAGTATTAAAGTTACGAATTGTATAGCTAACTTTGTTCTAGATTTTTGTATTTTTTTCTAAAACAATTCTCGAATTTAGACATAGCTAAATAAAAAATTGAAAAAAAATTAGTAGAAATACAGGAACTACAATCTTCTCTGTTGTACTTTTTATCAGTGAAAGTGCAGTCACAGCAAAAGGTCTACGGTAAATATACTTTCAAGCTCATTGACGTCAACTTGATAAAACACAAAAGTCGGCACTTTATCCTAACTTTAACTGTCTTGTATAACTTCAACAAACAATCTGTCTTTTATGTAACCTGGGATAAGTTAATTAAAAAACACGGAACACTTCGTGTGCGCAGAGCAAGCCGACGTTGGTGTCAATATATCAAAAAGGGTTGGATTCAGCACACGTTCAGCATCACCAGATGCACCGTAACGCATATAAAGTTAGGCGAAGTCGCCTTTTTTCCTAGTATTATATGCACTGCTCTTGAAACAAACAGAAAAAGTGTTGATTCTAGTGTTACGCTTTACATTTTGTAAAGGAAAATAAAACTCATGCAACATTTCCTTCGTGCGCAAATTTCCTATATTTATTAATACTTTACATGTAATAATATTGAAATGGGATCCCGGTATACAGAAAGGATGCCGTTTTTGTCCAATTAGAATTTCTTATTAGTGTCGTATGGTGGCCTAATCTTTAGGCACATGATCATCATAATGAGTACCCTCTATTTACAAAGAAGACGAGCGTCCTTGTTAATGATAAGGATCATCTCACAGGCACGCCGAGAGCCTTATTTAGCCAGGTCTAGCTTAGAACGTCATATTGCTAGGAATCTGCACATTTCGATTTTGTTAGATTTAAAAATGATAGCTAACGATGTCATCCATTGTCAGAGCAAGTTTCCTCTTGATTCAGGCCAGATAACTTTCGCTTGTAGAGTAACCCCAACATTTTCTGGCTAAAATACCCTATTAAGCTCGTTTATGCTGTCGACTACAAACTAGAGACAATTGAAAGCAGCTATTACCATAGTTTCTAAAATAAAAAACGACAGGATGAGGGCTGTTAGCCAGACTCGTTCGGCTTATGACTATTAAGCCCTCTTCTATGCGTAGCAATGCTGTGGACCTTTGTTGAAGCCTCGACCTACTACCTCGGCATAGTGTTGGACATATATTGGCCGTTATGCAAGTTGCAGCCTAGGTTGGTCAAGACAGTTGAATAGGTTCTCAAGACTGAGCTACTGACTATACAATCATGGCAGCGTCTTCGTATAAGACTACTAAGCTGAATATAGCTCTGAGGCATGTTTTACGTATCTAAGCGATTTTAACAGCGTATTGAGTTAATCAACGCACGCAGTGTGCAGGTATAAACAAAGCAACTGGCACTCATTAGTTAGATTGTAAACACTTGATTTTCGTACAGGATTTTATTTTAGATGTTAACTTAAACCTGACCTTCCTAAGAAAGGCTTCGTTGGCTTGCTTTTTTCCTCTCTTCAACACAATACATTTAGCTGGACCCGCTCTTTCAACTCGTTACGTAACCCTGATAAGTCGAGCCAAAAGTCTCAGATTTGGCCTCTGTTATTACCACTATTTCTGATATTGTTATCAGTCAGTCAGTCATCAGTCAATCAATCAATCAATCAACTAATCAGTCATCTATTTCCCTTAGTTACCATTCTAATTAAACGACACTTAGTTTTGTGCTGATGGAAATGAACAGTTATGATGACTACCATTGTTGTGTATCTTATAAGCTTGTCATTTTTTGAACAGCATTCAATTAGAGAGACGTCTGGCTCTTTTTGGCGGTCCGTAGTCTTTGGATCGTTTTTGAGTCAGCAGTTTGTGTACGTATTTTATATATATACTCGGTTGTACGTTTCGTCTGTTTATCTGGTGCGGACCGTTTTGTGACTATTATCACAAACTTCAGTATTACATTGAATCCTAAAAGACTCGTGCGATGTTATTTTTCTCAGCTAGTTGAACTTTTTAGGGCTGAATTCATTAACTAGTCTTATTCGCTTATACATGTATATCCCTAGCAAATAGGAGAAGATCCTAACTTCTAACTAACTAAATTCAACCATGTCACGTAGTATAAAGTTACTAAAAATTCATAATAGTAGTAATCATATAATTATTATTAAGAGCTCTACAACAACCCAAATATGAGATACGGTAATGCGAAAAGCCAGTATATATTCTTGCGTCCTAACGTTCTTCAGTCACCTGTGTGGCCACTCGCATCCAGATCTAAGCAAGCCAGATAATACGCATCTCATATGGGCTCGCAACCTGTAAACAAGATCTGTGAAATAAAATTTAATAGTGTGTGTATCGGACTAGACAATATCTGGCTAGCGCTTTAGACGGGGTGGCGTTCGACGCTTTGAAAGCGGCGTTTTTGTAAAAACGTCGATTCCGAGCCGATAACTGTAACAGCTGAGCTCAAAGCACGCTGTGTGCATACACCCGATCCGTCCTTTAAGTTGTTCCCAAATGGATTTTGTTCCAGCTCTGTTGGAGTTCTTACTTTCACGAATGCGCGCACGCGCGCTATCGACGACAGGGGAAAAATCACGAAAAGCGTCTGTGCGCTTGATGAAAAATGGGCACTAATCGTTGTGCGGTCCAGGTGACTTATCTAGTAGTCACCAACGCATCTACGCTTAACCGAGTTCACGATTCAAATTAGTAGAGTGCAGTAAATACGATAACGCATAACAATTCGACCGTAACAGCACTAACGGTAGTAATCGAAATCAATGGAGAGCCGATCATTTAAGCGGATCATTATAGTCGGGTAGACAACACCTCATTGATTGGGTTGTTGTCCTCACAGGACGACGACGCATGCGACGGCATTCGACTCAGGTCCAAAATAGCGACATTGCACCTGCTGCCAATGGCGCCTCGATCGTTGGCATTGCCGCAGACGGCTGCGACCGTTTCCGCTGCTGCTTGCTGATCTGCTGGGTATGGCAGTTCCAGTATACCCTCCACCGAGGGTTAGAACCTAAATCATACTCGCTTTTTGGCGGTCTTTTTCGAGCTCCCAAAGTGGTACCATTTTTTTTCTTTGCCAAAGTCCGGGGCAAAGTGGGAGGGCAAGCTTCCCGATCGGTCCTTCAAAGGAGGAAGCTTGCCTTCTTCGACGTCGAGCGCCTCAGTAATTGCGACATCTGGGCGGTGGGTTCGTCGACCTTGAACTTGAAGAGCAGCATGATACGATTTAGAGAAATATTAGTAAACTTAGCCTGCTCAGACGGCCAAGGAAACTTGAATAATTTAGAGGAAGACTGCTCTCTTGAATTTCCTTCGATGCGATGCGAACTGAACGAAACAGATATTTTGTTCTTTGATAGAGTCATTGTTTGAAAATGTTTGCTCGAACACAGATTCTGGGTTTTTGCAACCAGTCGCGCACAAAATAGGAATCCATTCATGGCTTACCTTGAGGGCGTGCCTTGTGGAGTATCGAGAGTCGAGTAAGCTTTCGTGTGTTCTCAGTAATCGTATATCCGAGCTCCTTGTCCTTCCGAACAATGTCGCGTTCCCTTTCAAACGAGGCCAACCAGCGCGTCTTATCTTTAAGTGAACGGCAGCTGAAGAGGAACCACTTCTCCGTCGATGCGCAATAAAGCTTGAACGCGTTCTTTACGGTTATGCCAAAGTTCGGCTCCTTGCCATCTGAGATATTTACCTGGTCGAGATAAATAACAGGAACACACCTAATTGATTAAATGGTCATCATTGCCATGGCAACTTTCTGCACAAAATTTCCTAGACAGTATTGTAATTAGCACAGCAATCGATAGACTTGACTAAAAACAATAGATAAAATATGACGTACGAGTGTCAGAGCACTAGTATAGATGCGTCCTCGATACGAGAGCGAGCTGCGTATGAATTCCCTTCGGCAATAAATGATCACATTATCGAAAAGCCACATCGTAACAACTTCTTTACTGTAGGATTGAAGTGCGTCATTTCCACCGGCGCTTCCGCCACCTGCCTGACCGTTCAAAGTGTAGCGGGTGACGTCCGCGCTATGAATAAGCAGCGACGACGTCTCGATCAGTTCTGGTCCTTCCCAGTTCAGAACGGCCCTCTGCCATACTTCTAACGTTTCCAGACTTTCCATTCGGCGTTTACGTTCATTTACCTATACAAATACCAACGGTAAGCAACAGCAATCGAAATAATTAGCAGAATTTGAACGTCGTGCCACAATAGATACAGTCAAGAGCGCCGCGTCAGGTTTCAGAGGTCAAAACGCCTATAGCAACTAACCATATGCGCAACACCTCGCATGGACTCGAGAGCAAGCGAGACCTGTGCCCTGTCGGGATGTCCAGGAGGCGTGTATTTGAGCAGTTCAGCTAACTGCAATGGGTACTTGCAGATACGCTGTACCGGCGTTAGTAGGAAGCCGTCAAGCGAGATGTCGCTCATGCCACCCCGAGAACGGCGACAATTTTCGAAAAAGTGCGCGTATTCTGCCTGCCTGTAGAGCTGCTCCAATTCGGCCATTGCCAGGGGATGATTGTTGCAATACTCGGAATATATTGAAAATTCTTTGCGCTGAAATACATAAAGATACCAATACAGATGATTGAAAGCCACTACAAATGGCTAAGACTAACTGTTTCTAAAGGCGTAGATTTTCTTTCTAAGAAAGCTCAACCAGGGCCCCTAACCATTTGACCAGGTAGAGGCCATCTCTGCTCCACAACGACTTTTAGGACATATAGATACCTTAGTTACAGATGCATGTATGATTAACGAGTGAAAATTAAGCCCTCTCATTTTTAAGTCTCGCTAACTGAAACCCATTATGAGACTACCTTTACTGTTTGCGTATACGATTGGGGTACTAATTAAACACGTAACTGATACGATTACTCACGAATCGTAAGAAACAGTCCCCAATACAACTGGCATGTGGTTGCTGCGGGTTGACACAGCTGGCCAGCTTAGTTAGGAAGCTCTTCTGGAAGACGTACAACTGCTCCACGTTACCAAAGATTGTTCCCACCTGCTCTGCGGTGAACATCGCGGGGCGGCTACGACACCGCAGCAAATAACCCTTAAAAGGGAAATGTTACAGTGCAAGTTACCACAAAATCGATATTTATGTCCTGCTATATATATATATATATGTATGTAGGCTATACAAGTGAGTGCTATGTGCGTGACATGGTCACTGACGTTCCTGTCTTTTACACGAGGCGAGTTCACTCCATATATTCGTCGTGTGTTATTTAATACAAAATAATGTGTATTGGCATGTATGGACCCTTCATGTGGTTTGATATAAGTAACACCATTGAAATGTTCGCAAATAAATTAAACGGATCACTAATTTCGGTATAATTAAAAATAACTGGATTTATAACAACAGCGTTTTCTAATCACTAAAGCAAAGCATTGAAAAGATTGGGGGGTCAGCTTGCGTAACAGAAGTGTAGCCGTGTTCTATGCCGTACAGAGTCAACGTTCAGTCTCGATTGCTTCAGATGACAACCATTAAAAGTATAGCACAAATAATTTCTGACGTATCTCCACTGGGTAGAATATAGAACAAAAGTAATATCTCTGGAGAGTACCAGACTCTGCGCCGACTTTACCTCGACGATATCCCTAAGGTGTTGTACAAAATCCTGTTCCGTAGTTATGAGCTCTTGGACGACCTTAGTCCGTATACGATTCATTTCATGAAGGCCCGTAGAACTCTGTAAAGCCCCGTGAACGCGATCCTTATTTTCTTGGTTGACTCTGAAATAAGGTAGTACGTATATAGTCCAGTGTGACACACTAGCAAGATGACCTCGAGTAAAATAACTAAATTCCAGCGATATCTCAATGCGTTTACAAATGACTCTTCACCACCGGTCCCTACCTGAGCCGTACAAAGTTTGCGGGAAACCATCCAGTCCGCTGTTCATTGGTACCAAGCGCTCCCCACCACCAATCACGATCACTGCGATCTGAAACTCGAATTACTTCGCCGGCACGAAACGCCAACTCCTCGGGATCAAGTGTTATGTGGTCCCAAAGGGCTTCGACATACGCCACCGTTTGATCGCTTCCCGATGGCTCACATACAACGGCACCCGCTCCTGGCCAAGGTCCGGCACAAACCGTCAGGTCATCATCCTCTGCTTCCGAGGAGGTGTTGATCTCGCAGGGCTGACTCTGAGAGCGCCTACTCGAAAGAGCGATTACATGAGAGAACGTCATAAAAATATGAAACATAGCCGAACACGCTTTAAGAAAAAGGGTCGTATCACTTAGCAAGTCGACAGGTGTAATCGCTAACGCGATGTCTGACAATTCGTTTCATGTAATATCAGTCACGTTTTCGAAGGGTGTTAGTTTTGAAGTAATGAGAAGCATGTGCCATATTATATATGCTGCACTGTGAAATACTTCAACGTGTGAACATGTTTGTATCCTGCTATGAGCATAATCTAAGCCTATCCACTTGACATCATTATAGCAATAGGCCCGATTATCTATCTGACAAACATCTCGGACAAGCGAAGCGCACATTATCAACTTTTACAATGCACATGTAACAATTCCCTTTAATGAACCAATATAAAATGGTAGTATTTTGTGGAAACCGAAGATTTTCTGCAGCACATACTGAACAACAGATGTGTGGGGTGCAAGATAGACATAATGAAATGGCCACATTTTTTGAAGACAATAAAGAGACAAATGTTGCTAACACCGTTTTTCAAAATATGCTAATTCGTCTACTTCTTATGCAACGTGTTTGTTGATCTACGACATACCTGAGCTGTCTCCTAGAGGTTCTCTGCAGCGCTCGAGACCTCCTTGGGTTGAAGGAGTTGTTACCGTCCTCCGAACCACTTTTTGACGACGTTGTTTCCTCGGTACTATTTGAATTGAGGTGAATACCCGAATCTTTACTCAGTGAAGGTGAGTGCTCTACACGGCCGCCTCCCGCATGAGCGATTCCGTTATTGGATTGAAGAACAAGCCCCTGTGGCGACATCGGTGTCGTTCCGTTTCCGTCACTACAGTTGTCTCCCGTTGGCTGTTTATCGCTGTTACTGACGCCATTGAAGCCCGCTGTGGAATTAGCTGACCGGATCGCCGATATCGCGCGCGGCACATCTGATTCCAAGGAATAACCCTAAGAACATAGTACAGGAGAGCACACACAACAAGGATACAATGAATAGTAAGAGTTGAGTACCAATTTAATGCATGACGCTGTATTACATAAAAAAAAAAAGATATTGCGTATCGACACCTATTTGGAGAACAGAACTTTCAAAAGGTGAGAAAGACTAAACAGTTGGCTGTTTGTGGTGCAAACAATGGGACATAAAATCACAAAACAGAAAATGAAATACCGCCATTTGGATGGAAGAAAAGAGAAAGTTAGTATAAGAGACTTCAGTGACCCTGATATGATGGCTACGAGACACTCTTCATTTTGCCAGACAAAACTAAATCGTATACACATATACATATTATTTCATTGAAGATATCTCAAGACATACGATCATTAAAAACATTTGCATACCAAATGCTGCTAGGTGTAGAACTCTTTCGATATTATATTTTTCAACCAAGATTAAAATTTTTTAATTAGTTAATGCTAACACCACCGCCGTTTCTATTCCTTCTCGCCAGTATTTTCATAAAAAGTTATTTTTTTCTATTTAAGTCGGTATTAGGCGTTGTTCACACATATTATATAGTGTGGGTATAGAGTGCTCGTCAAAATGATCTGTTTTTGTGTACCTTATATCAGTATCGGATATTAGCTATTGCTCAGTGAAACCAACTGGTGATCGTTACTCATCTTCTCAAAAATAATGGCCGTCCCAGTATTTATAGATAGACAATAGTAGCAAATTATTGTAGTAACAAATAAGGTAATCATTGTAGCTCATCTTCGACAGTAAAAGGGGTAGTCCTACTTTTGGTCAAGGGAAGGTTGCATGAGTTGGCATTAATGTTCAGCGCGGCAGATTGGACGGACGGACGGACGAACGAACGAACGAACGAGAAGCGGTTCATAGAATGTAAGCGAAACGACTCGATAGTATCTAATCTCTAATCGTGTTTACAAAATACAAAAAAAAAAAATTATTATAATTTATCAATCGCAAACGCCTAAACTTAGGGCCGTATAAGTTGTGCAGATAAAGCCAAATAACGTATAACTAAACAACGTACGTTATTAAAGCTTGTGGATAATCTTTTCAGTGATGGAACAGCGCCAAAACTTTAAAGGGTCTAATAAACTATGACGTTTCTCGGAAAGCTCTAAGATCATTCTTCATTATTTACATATGCATTTATGGAGAGACATCGAAATCATACCTTTTCGATCGGCTTCTTTTTGTTTCGACGAAGCGAGAATGTCTTGGAAAATTTATTGAGTATTTTCTGAGGGCTGGAATTACACGAATGGCTTGTTGGCTCCTGAAGATGGCTCAGCTGTGTAAGATCCATTGCTCCTGAGGTGCCGCCAGAGGGGTAATCATACCGGCCACTGTACAGACCTATCAGCGATCACAGTGCGATTGGGGAAAATCGTGAATGTATGTAAATTTCGCTTCAATGTAATGAATTAGTAGCATAAAGTTATTTGTCTCACAGGCTAGAATAGAGGATTTTAATTTACTCAAATAGAGATAGAATACCTTGAATCAGAAGTTCCTAGAGTAAGTACTATAGCAAAAGCCGTATTACCAGATATACAGGTATATACATATGTTCCCATTATTTCTGCATGATTGCATTTAACATATATCTAGTTAACGGTACAAAATCTTATTGTATGGTAAATAAGCTGTACTTTCGATTTTACATAGAATGAATACTTCGTCTACTTACTGGAATGAATACCTTTTCTAAACATGGATCAGGCAAACCAATCAGTAAAGACGCTGAAGGAGCCAGAGCAAATGCCCTATATCAGATTAGTCTACACGAAATAGGCATCATAACAGTACTTTAGGTTTTGCAAAACAAAAACTCCCGCTTTGGGAGTTTGCTCGGACATGACCTGAATGCCGAACAGATTAACTGTATGTACATGCATATAATTAGAGAAACTTTAAAAAAGCAACAAATCATCAAAGAAATTGACCTCGTACAGATATAGTTACTGCTCTCTAACTAATGTTCTTACAATAATAAGCTCAAGCAACGCGTCCTGACGATGAACAGGCACTGTATAATCCGCAGTCCACCCAAATATAAGGACAACTTTAGTCGACAATGGGCAACAGAAGTTATACTCTTCTTGTTTGCATCATCAGCATCAATATTCCTCATTAAAGCCTAACCAAACCCAAAGTGTCCAACCCAAATGATCTCACGCCGCCAATGGCCTAACTTCCGTGCCGAATCGACATTAAACTCTGTGAATTTCCCGATGAAGTTGTTCCAATCATCTTAATAATAGTGTTTAATTATGTTCAGCTTACGAAAGCATCAGAAAGACTGCACGAGTCTTAGGTACTCTACCAATGGCAACAGCCGGCTAACTGGGTATCGAAGAAAAAAAGAACCTACCTGGCCATAGCTGTTGTTCACGTGATTTTTTTTATTTACGTTCTGTGCTTGTTATATGGACAGCATCTCATGCGATATTATCAATGATCCAGACGAAAGACTCAATTCTCGAGAATTCATACACGTACCCAGATGTTTGACATAATTCCCGAGACATATTGCCGCTTGCAGCTTTTAGCTCTATTGTTTCTGTTCGGAGACCGTTCGCAAGGTCGTCATTTCTAAAATGATTTAAGCCTTTAGCAAAGTTACAATGGACTTTGTGTTAGTTAGTTAGTTACATTCACATGTCCGGCAATGACACTGTAATGAATACATGCGTAACATAGATTCATCATTTAGCCTGTAGATGGTTAACACAACTATAAACATCTCTGAATAAAGTTTGTTGGGTTTTTTTCTTTTGAGAAATAGAAGTTGGCCCGCTTCGCCTCTCAAGCAGCATTGTCATAATACTACTTTAAAGGAAGAACCGCTCCCCACGGCAGTGTCTAAAATGTATGTTATATATGAAAAAATTTCTCGTATGGAACTGGACGCACCCAGGTAAATTAAGCGCGTTTCCTCAGAAAATGCTGAACTTTTGCTTTTGTGCCTAGTTATTACATAGAATCCGTCACTTATTGCGTCTACTAGGTTTCTGTCGGCGGGTTTGTCTAAACCGAAAATGTAATCCAGCGAACTCCTTATCAGCCCAATACGTAAATTGGGCCCATTTTTCGTGGGTTGCATTTTGGAAGGACCTGTGCAGAAGGTGGAGCTCATTAGAATAGGGACAAATACGTACGCTTCTAGAGGGCAAATTCGTTTTTTTTTTTTCATAGAGCGCGTCGTCTATTGGGTTGGTTGTGGGCCGAGCCAGTTTTTATCTTATTTCGCTCGGTAGAAAACAGCATAGTTTGAATGCACCCAGGCGGCCACCATTATCGTCCGCGCTAGTCTACCACCAGACGTAAAAGTACTTTTTTTTTCTGAATGAGACATAAACGCTAGCTGTACGCTCACCCAATTAAAGGTTACGTACCTTCAGTTTTTGATAACATCTCGAAAATTAATCATGCGAATCCCATCCGTACTAAAGCTACTATAATTAAAAGTGCAACTCCACAATATAGATTACGGAATAATAAGTGTAAATTATTATTAAAAAAACCTCTTTATCTTCGAAGAACTTATTGCACTCAAGTTGGTACAGTAAAACCTATGGCTATAACGCGTGGTTGTATTCTGCCCTTACCCAGCTAGTGATAATTTTCAATTGTCGTGTCTTGAAATCTTACCGGACACACCGTGAAATGAACGAAACACATCGCATCTTTCTAACACTGTGTTTAGATAGCTGCGAAAATTCAGTCGTCGACGATTCAGTCATACGTAGGAGACAGCTTCCTACATCAAACAGAATAGGCTCCTTCATAAAGGTTTGATAGGCTGTCTTTGGATCTTCACGATAACTCTACTGGAAGCATAAGCCCGTGTTTGCTTTCTCCAAAGTTAAACGTAAACAAATTAAGGAAGTGGCATATGTGTCGAATCAGGTCCATGAGTGTAGCACATTTTTTCAACATGGGAATTATTATTTTCCTTTTTTTTATTTAGAAGAGCCTAATGCTGCGTCTCTATCTGATAAAGCCATTTCAAGGCTCGAGCGACCTGGGTCACTAAAAAACGGATATTTTTGTATAACTTAACTCGCTTCGTTGGCGGGTCGATTTTCAACGCTCTTCTGAAAAGAATTCTAATTAGGCGTCTCAATGATAGTTCCAGAACGACAAATAACATTATGAAACGGCTTTTATGTGATCCGTAAAGCTCGTTATGACTGCAACTAATTAAGCGCACCCATCTACGAGTCGTATCGCTTTGAACTTCTCGAACCCAGTCGCCCGAAGAATAGTCCAAATGGCGGCAGCCGCATTGGCAAGTACGTGATCGGAATAGATCGTGAACTCATGTCCCACGCAAATACGTCGAGCTGTTCATTTTGCCCTACCGTTTGTCCTCCGTAGGGAATGTTTTCGTTGTACGACACAATGAAAACAAAGTATCAGGGCCATATTTCAAACTAACATCGCTGTAGGCGATTGTTCCCAAAAAGCTATCTACGAGAAACAACCTACGAAGGAATCCAAAATTATAGCAGCCACGTGGAGCGTTCGTAAATCGTTGAATTTAGATCGTTCCTGAATAAGTTTCTATTATTTAATTTGAAACTAATTCATTATCAATGTACGCATATGTAACAACATCAGGATGATCACTCGACAGACTGACCGAGCCAATATATTCTTTTTTTTTGTTTTTTTTTCTTTCCTATTAATTGAATCCTTCTCTTGGTATATTTTTTTTTTTTAGCAAACTGCGAATTAAGTTCTGCCACAAGACATCGATAATGAATGTCTCTCGATTGGAACTCTATTGATTACCATAATAATGGCGCATGATCTTGAACGATTATCCTTCCGAGCACTTGTTGTAAGGCTCCAATACAACGGATCGAATCTATGTGATGACAAATCTGCCTTACCACAGAAATAAGACAAACAAATACCTACATTCATATTTTTACATGCCGCTGAAAAAAGGCTCAATCACACGCGCCGAATTATACGTAAATATTTCAACGAATATGAGGTAACTTGTCCTAGAAAAAGAGGAGTACGCCGACAAGATAAAGGCCGTGGCGTTCGCAAGACAGAAAAATGATCATTTTTCGAAGACGAACATGCTTGAATCTGAATTTGAATTGAACACATGATATACCTTATTTGTATTTAGGACGTGTTACATACAGGCGAGATAGCCTACAACTAAATTTGTCAAATTCAGCATTGTCTTAGTCGTAGTCACTTTTTCTACAAAAAAAAAAAAACAAAAAAAAAACAATCCTTTAGTGTAATGTGCCGTTTACACTGTTTATAATATTTATTTATATATAGCTAGAATTTCAAATTTTTGCGCCTTTCGAATACTGTGCGTTGGTCCTGCCCTCTGAATAGCTCATTCATCAGTCAACTAAATGCACCACTAGGAGTATAGATTTTTAGTTTCCCGTAGCATTAAGCAGTTTGAAGTTCCTAGGGGTTTGCAACTGCAGCCAATCAACACAACCATAGCATACATACAGATATATTTAAAGCTACGGGAGATCTTCTCAGTCGTGGAAGCACTTTCGATTTGAAAGATCGCGCTAAAAACAATGTACGGTGAAAGGTGTAAGACATCATCCACGAGATCGGTATCGGGTTACACGTATCTGTCCACATAGGTTAAGGGGTAACGTGTTTGCCTGCTGACATTAAGAACAAGGTTCAAACCCCAACACAAACACACTGCATTTTCTACCTGGAGCCAGAGGTTTGATGTAACCCATGACGGCGGTACTGGACATGTAAAACTCGAAACAGAGGGTTCGAACTTTTCAAAAATGCTTTCTACATTTTAGTGTTCCCACAACTTCGAGAAGTAACCTGTATTTATCTGTTCGGGCTAGTATTGTACGATACCATCTTTTGTGGTGCACATATATGGACCCCACGGCATCTTACATTCACACTGCGCCGCTTCAAATCACTGACAAAAATAGGTTCTGTGTAAGCAGTACGTTTGTTATTACTTCGGTTGCACTAGCCGCTGTCGCCTACTTCTTCGCTGTACTTCAGACGGAAGAATCCGTCTGTATCCGTCTGTATATCCATAGAAAGTCCTGACTCAATTAATAACGATACACTACGACACGTGTCGCATTCGTGCGAAATACTATCTTGAAGATAACTGAGCTTCCACTCTAAATTTAGGCCGACGTCCGTGGATTTACCGCTCGGCGAGTCTTGATAATCATCCTATCATGGCCCAAAATGGGAATTATTTTAAGCCTGCGTAAACACCAACAAAACCGGTTGAACCTGAAGAACTCCGTCGATGGCTGCGACTGCACCATTGAGAAACGTAACCTGGTTTACCTGCTTATGGCGACTACAACCATATTTGTAGTGTGTACAACGCCTCATGCGATCTCGTGCTCTCATCCGACTATTAAATTTGTTGAGAGCTTCGTCACATTCAAGATCTTCGACTCAGCATGTAGCAGTCAGTGCTGCATCTAACTTTGATCCGTATCGTGACTGCTTGACACGTTCCTTGACGTGATACAGGGTATGTATAGGATGGTGGTTGAAATAACGGAACTGGCCAAGCTAAGTGGTTACATGAGGGTCCTGATATGGTCCTTATAAAGAAAGCTCACTAGGAACTAGCTCAATACACGAATTGAGTGCAACGCCTATACATACCCATGTAAAGAAGTGATCGGTATTAATCTTTGATGCCGCTGTGGCAATTGAGCCACTTATAGAGACAACCAGTCCGCTATTAGGGTTTTTTTTTCGAGGTAAAATATCGGTTTAGTCTTACGGTTTTTATAGAGTAGATACATATTACAATGACGAATACGCAATGAGGTTCATCTTTGTATTTCTCTTGTTTGTTTGTGTTGACCTTATTAGGAAAACTGCCCAGCTTTTTTACAATCTTGTCAGTGTTAAACGCGCTGGTTCTGTTCTAATATTGGCCGCTAAGCAGACCACGAATGACAAATTAAAGTAGCTAACCACAGGCTTTTAACGTGCTTCGGGCAAATCGATAACAATGCAAAGTAGACTTCCGCATTGAAGCTAAGTGGAGACCTTCTAAAAAGGGTTCCTTCGGGCATAGTTTTATACTGCATCAGTGTAGCTGGACCGTATATGAATAATGATTTTCAATTGAATTACTAGTCAATTTCTAGGACGGTCGTCTTTATCTTACTGTAAAAGTTCTTTGCATTGAATTAGGAACTAAACAACCAATTACATAACACAGCCGCTAGAACTTATCGCTGTAAGTTCTGCATAGATATCAAGTGAACTATAGCAAAACTCTACTGCGTGCGGTGGATAAGACACCTTCGTTATAACCCAATTGCCGACATAGAGACATGAACCACGTAGCAAATGGTGCCGTTATCTTAATATAGAGAAAAGAAATAGTCTGTCTTGGCAATGTTGCAATGCTTTCAGTTTTACCCGCGCCGCTAACTGGGATATGGACGCTCCCGTCGTCAGTTCCTAAGATTGGTTACTAGTTACCACAATACGAGATCTGGTGACATAAACGTAGCCATTTACCTGGTAAGCTGTGAGCTGTATTTTGTACGCTCGTTGAGTTGAATAGGTGTTCATGCATAGAGCGCGGCCGTCCACCACTAGCTCCTGTCAATCCGGGTTCGTCTACTATGCCAATAAGGACGCTGTTGAGCACTCGGCTGTTGCTTCCGGCAGAACTTCCAGATGCTCCTGAAGGACCGCTGTGGAATACCCCTCCTGCAATACCGGTGATTTCTGGTATACTGCGAGCGCGGTTCAATTCGACTGGGTCTGACATTGGGACTCTGCAGCTGCCGATCGTACCGGGTGGCGCAGGATTCCCTTGTTTTCCAGCGGCGTACATAGCTACGAAACCATAATCATCGTGTGCTCCCTGATGTTGAGATTAAGAGGAACAGGTTTGCCTGCTATTGAGTAGTACTTCTCACGTATTGTAAACTATGACTGTTGTGTGGGATGTACAAGAATAAAATTCTTTATAGGAAAACTTCAAATATTGTTCGGCTTGATCCACACCTAAATTATGGGTCAGCATACGGTTTTTTTTTATGTAAAAGCTACATTTTTCTGCTTTGACGATAGCACATGCAGTAATTTGGCGGAAAACGTCTTAAATTGTTCGAAGTAGTGCGGTGCAATGGCTGTTCACCACAGCCTTTCTGAACGTTTAAGATATTATGTAAAATTCATATATCGTTGTATATAGAGATGTCTGATTCGAGACGTAGCATAAAACTTATCGCTTTTCAATAACAATTATAGATTATTCTCAAGTGGATTTCATTAGCTTTCGTGTTTCTCTGGCTATACGTGAGCTCGTAATGGGAATTCAACTTGCATTGGGAAAGGTCTTACACGACAAAAATTATGGCAAACAATGTTGCCTATACAATACAATACAAACATGTACAGTTGACAAAATAGCCTATTAAATGAAAGGTTAGGTGGTTAATTTATCAGAAATAATAAAAAAATTGAAAAGGGTACATAACACAGTCAGGAGAAGCGCGCTATAAATGAAGCGACTTGTAGTGGTTTCTACACCGTGTCAGAGAGTGGCTGGCAAAGCGCTACTGAAGGACTTTCGAACGACGTATCGAAATGAGCGGCCATTATAGACCAACCGACGAAAATCTCCGTTAAATTCTCCATATATATATACACCCTAACCCCAAATGGCCTAAGCACTTGTAAAGTTCGAGAGTTGGAGGCTGGAGACGGGCCTGTTTTTTTGTGTTTTGAAATTTTTTGTATAGTAGTAATAGCCTTGTCTACAGACAGTTTGGTTCCACGAGTCCAGCAAACATTTCTCCTACACTTCGTTAATGGTGTTGTAAAAGAAACTGCTAACAATACACCGAGGTGATTCAGATAAAAGTGTTGCGGCAAGTACGAGAACGGTTTTCGTATGGGAACGTAAAAAACCATCACGTTCTTTTACTGTGTAGTGGAATATCACTCGACGTGAATCCGGTCGAACACGTGCCATTATATCAAAGGATGAGTAAAGGCCGAACTGGGAATCACGAGCATCTCGTAATGTAAGTGTGAGCACATGACCCGGGCATAACAGTGATACCGTGAAAGTGCAGTCGGAGTCTGCCAAACCAAGCTGCAGGAGCGATGAATGGGTAGACCAAACAATAGCCAGCCTTAATGGGTGCCTTATCTTCCACAGCTGCGCTAAAACGGCGTACTAAAGTATGTGGGACTACGTCGCTATATGTGCTATCACTAGAAGACGGGGAAGCAGATTTCACGTAGAGATCTACATGCAGATATTTATTTGAGGAGCGGAGTTATTGTTGGCTGAACTCGACAATGTGTGAAGTTTCTAGCTGGTCTTACTTATTGTTGTGTTATATATATTATAATAAGCAATTATTATTAAATTATATATAAATTAAAATATAGTATATTTTAATTTAAAGAGATCATGGTTTATAATTTTATAGTTAATTATCTGAAGATAATAATTATTAAATATTGGCAAGTGAATAATCTGAAACGCAGACTCGACGATTTTATTCGAACCGTGTTACTATCGATGATCGTCGACGGTGGCGTCCTTAACGTTTCTATTGGTTTCGATCGTACAGGTGTCTGAGGTTTCCCTATCTGTACGCTCTTATTGAGAGTACTAGCCGGCTCCTCGCATGGACTATTCCAAGTTAGACCCGACGGGAGGCTCGCAAGCGCCCCATTACCAGATAGCGGCCCGAGGCTAGCGGGAAGAGGAGGTTTTCGAACGAGCTGGGACTCGGCTATGTTCGCCAGTTGGTTAAGGAGTTCCGCAGACTCGCGGCTGTCTGCTCCCACCCAACGGTTGACTGCTGCCTCCTATGAATATAAAGCACAAAAAACGCTTTGGTTAAAAGCACGGATGCAGTATAACATTCGTAGGGACAGGTTGATTTATTTGACGATTACGTACTTTTGTCTATATAATGAAAGAATATAATAGTTTGTTTATCAAACGCTTGTTTGTGTGCCATCGTTGAGCTGGTTAACTACCCTCAGTAAATACAGTAAAAAATTATTAGGTTGGAACATGAGGAGTTGTAATGATCGGGCATAGAACCTGTAAAAGAAACATCTGGTTAGTATGGCGAGTGCAAAAAACCTTCCGCTCAAGTTCTTTTGGAGCTATGGGCTTTTTTTTTTCTAGTGGATAGTTTCGTTCGCTTGTTACGAGGGGCCACATGCATCTCCTTGTTGAACGTCCTGTCCTTCTTGCCATCCATAAGAGTTCTGTATAGAGACCTATCATTGTCGTTGTGCGTTGCTCGGTGTCGGACAAGAAGCTGAGAGTCAATGTGGGGCCATACTCTTTTGTACGTTTCACCCAATTCATCATAGCACGACAAATTTGTAGTAACCTTTCACATGTTTAGGATGCCTGGTAAATCTGGTGTTGGGAGTTTGTCTTGTGAGCCAGAGGTTTGTCCCTCTAACGAGTTGCTCGATGTTTAACGAGCTCGTCAACCTTGGATAACTCAGTATGATTTAATACACTTAAAATACCATTTTGGAACTTCGCAAGTCAATTCGAACGATAATTTTAGTTAAAGCTTCTTCGGTGGACAGGGCACATCTTAGCAGATTGTGTTCGCTTTTATCGGTCTTTTCCAGCTGTTTCCCGCTCTAACTTGTAACTCTGGTGTCTTCTAATAGGATTTCGTCATTTTCTAAAAACCGCCCCGTGAAACGCCTTTGATGTCGGTCGGTCACCGTGTTGTAAGACCGTTATGGTTGTACTAACACGAATGCAAGGATGAGAACGGAGATCATTATTGCGCTCGATCGTCTGAACTCGAATACCGTTCGATTTTATCTCAGCAAGTAGAACTTTGGTTCGTTTGGTTGGCCTTCTGGAACTATCGATTTTCACTAGTCCGAACCTCAAATTTTTACATTTGCTACGGATCTCTATTCATATCGAAGGCCGCGGGCTGGTTTCTGAGAAAAACAACTTATGCAAAGCTGTGAAATCGCTGAAATTTAATGGTCAACGCAGTAATGTAACAACTATACCTACACATGAGTTATACAGCAGCTTCGTCAATTTATTTGTCCATTCACTTACAATAGCCGTCGTCGGATCGTTGTCCTTGAACATACCCGGAGGCGATAGAATACCCGTGGGGTCAGTGCTGTTGGGGTTTCGCAATAGCGGAGACAGGAATACCTGATCGGCTAAAGTTAGAGGCCGCCTACGTTCACCGTCCGGGTGACCACCGCCATCGTTGCTTCCTTTAAAATCGCATCCATTTGAAATCGCACCGTCGTTATAAGACTCGGGACAGTCGTTGCCGTAAGAATTTCTAGAGCCATCCTTGGTGCCGTAGATGTCGGATATACCGGTACGTCCTCCGAGAATACGATCATTATGAAAACCGTTGGTCTGAACATCGCTTGACGGTGCTCTCAGTGACGAGTTGCTTTCATTCCGCACAGCCCCGTGACGAACAGATGGTGCCGCCAACTGATTGTTGCACTGTCAACAGTATAGACATCAAAGTCAGCCAGCCCATTAACAGAACCATTGACATTAATTTTCAATGAAAACAGACTTTCATTTAATTTGCTTATGCCATAGAGTCAGAGTAAATTCTCAAAGGGGCCTTTTTTGTTTCGCAGCAGACGAGGACATTTGTTATCAGATGTTTCGGAGATTCATTATTTAGAAAACATTTCATAAATTATATGTTTACCATATATCTACGTACTGTATGTATGTGAATTTTTGACATTCATTCCGCCGTTGCACAAGATAGAATTATGCCTTGTAAAAATTCTTTGCATTTGTAGCTATTTAATATAGATAACCGCAACCTTCTATCTGAAATAGCGGTAACTATTTCTATATCTTTAATATAACCAATACAGATTCTAGTTTGCTCAATTTCGTTAGTTGAGGTAGTTAATTATCCGCTAAACCACGTACCGCTAGAGACCCAAGACGGCGTGTACAACAACATTGTACAACGTGGCCCGCCATATGCTGAAATCGTTTTCTGTTAGTCTAAAGTGTATAACTTCGAAAAAAAAACGTCCTTATTACCGCGCAAGTTCTCGGATCACACTGAATGGAAGCACATTCGGCGCATTGGTTTAGTCCGCCAGGATCTCCCTTTGCTCTGCTGGACGTCGGCCCGCCCAGGCTTCCAGGCGATAAACCCTTGTTGTACTTAGGCGGGCTTGCTACACTCCGGTAGGTGCCAAAAACCAGGTGCTCGATATTCGGACTATACCTATTCAGCGGAACGTATGAGAGTAAGGTAGAAGGAAACGATATATACATAGAGCAAAAGAGAGGCAATATTGAATCCTAGTGCCGAAAGATCAATATCAAATCAATCGTTACTAATGAGAACCTGATGCTCTATAACGGTAGTTTGACCCTTCGTTTGAGTAGTAGAATAGTAGAAAAAATGAGCAGCTTGATACTGGGAAAGACATGGCAGGGCTTCAAATGGAGGCCAGGTTAGCGCAGGATACATGGTGACAGGATGTTTGCGTCGTATCGGAATTTGCATTCAGGTAGTAGTTAATCGACAGTAACTCGACGCTCACTGAACCGTACGTGTTCCCATTCTTCCTAGGCCAATATTAAACTACGCGACTACCAATAGAGAACACGAATGTATACTTTAGTGTATTTGCCGCGCTCCACCTTTGAGTACCTCTGGGCTAGTCATGGATGCTGGATATCCTTAATTAAAATTCGATGGCTACTCGACATTTTAAAGGACTCCGTATGTTAGGGGACTCGCAGATCCGATTGAACCTAAGGATAGGAGTGATGGCAATGATACGTGACACGATAGAACAAGTCTAATGATATTTAGGGTCATTGATTACATGTCTGCACATGCTGCGTCTGTATACATGAAGTAGGTGCGGGGCCGTACCCAGGGTCATTCTTAAGGTTAACCACTCGATGCGAGGCGCTCTTCTTTTTCGTCTTGATCGTTTCGGCCAATCGCAGTAGTCGTCCACGATTTTGGCTAAGATCCTCGGGAACAGCCAGTGGCGCGGACATCTTGACTTTCGCACGCTGATGGTTCCACTTTCGGCTACTTCTCAAATCCTTTACCGGAACCGTCAGCGCATCCTAGAACATCAAAAGTAAAGGTAACCGATTTAGATATTTTTTATAAGAGTAAGATTCTAGGCGTACTGTTCACGCGACCTTACTCCAGGTAACAGATCAATGAAAACAATCAATATTTCCATTTAAGTGTGTTCTGTAATTAGGTGCCAATGATATCTAGCCGTGGGAGCGATCTTGTCGCTCCGTATTCTCGTTAGTTTACGACATTTCGAACACGACTTAAAAGTCATCAGCAATTGAAATTAAAAATCCGATAATTAAGTTCTGTATGCATCGCATACTCCACACTAGATTAGAAACGCATTTATTTCTCATTACCTAAAGAGAATTGCTGATCCAGGACAGTGGATCGTCAGTGAGTATAAACGTTACGTAAACAAACATAGACTGAACCATCGACTGAAACCAAAGGGGCTGCATTAGCGCAGGTCAACATTGTTGAATCAGGTCGTTGCTTTCGATTAGGTTGGAGGGTTTTCGATGACCTTCTGCAATGTTAACCATTAAGCACTACTGCAGCCTTCAGGTGTGTACCTTGTTTGGCCACCTTTCTAGTAAACTATTACAATCCAACGGATTCGTACAACGACGGTTTACTATCACATTCTTTCAAGGCGAACATTTTCTCTACTACATAATCGAAATATAATAATAAGTAATCGCATCAGTTTTATCTACTCCGGACAACTGGACTGCCAAGTGCTAAGTGATCCATGACAAATAAAACAAGGACAACCAAAATTATGCATGAGTCCTTTTTGTTTACATAATTTACTCACGTATAATTTTAGAGCGGGCAAAAACTCCGAATTAGTCATATTTAGAACTAGCTGTCAAGGAAACCTAACTTTCAGCATAATTTTTGTTATTCATTAATTAGATAAATTTCTCTCGATTTCTTACCTGCTTAGTGTTCACGATGGGCGTTTTGTTAAAAAAAAAAAAAAAAAAAAAAAAAAACAATACGAACACTCTTAACACATCTAATGATTTAGCCAGCGACATGTTTATATATAGTATTGTAGAGATTGTCACGTTTCGTATGGTTATACACTTCTCATACCGAAATCTGCCTCAGGCTTTCTCCTGTTTCCTCGCTTCTTGTAACAGAAAATACGAAAAACGCCGTCGAAATGCACCACTACCCTTGTTAAAAGTAACGCCTCGTCCCATACTCGATCTGGTCTTCGCAAATGATTTTCTAGGAAACATCCCCGTGGCTTAGATTCCGGCATAACAGTTCCCCACACAACCGTAACAAGCCTATGGGCAGACTTGCGCATGATTCGCATCAGCTTCGCACACTGTTCATGCAGAAATGTTATTGCACCACATAAGAAAATGTTTCAGTGCTCTAATTCGCCCCTGTCAACGCCTTATGAGGCTAGTCAAATAAACTTTTCAAAATTTGTTTAAAAATGAGTGAACGGCTGTATAATTTTCGTTCAATCTTACAGGACGCTCATTATTAAGCGATAAAAAAGATGCTTGCCCCCTAACAATAGCGAAGTGCCGTATGTAAAAGCTTATGAACTTTATCAATACCGTCTTTTCTGTTCTTTAAAATTGTTTCGGGGCTGCCTGCTACTTGGGAACGAAGCGATCTTTCGGGCGGTTGTTTCAAAAGCATGAATCTACACAAGCTGATTCTGTGCGACACGTACTAATGCAGAGTTAGGCTTATCACAGGTCGACCAAATATATATATCACTTCGAAGGCAGCAAATCAACAAGAGATAACACGTCTACATGGGTACAGAAATGCGCCGAGCAGATCTTCGAAACCTAATGGAAATAGGCATTGTCACGTGCGATTGGAGCGATTATTAAGAAAAAAAAGGTGCCTATTTTGACAGCTGGATACTTGAATGTAACTGTCCATTTGAGAGGTGAAGTTCTTTAAGCACTCCATTCAATAATACCATCCTACAGCTGTTTGTATATAATTCTGGCCTCGGTTGCAGACGACTCGCAAATGATAAACACAGTTTTGCTGAAGATTCAACAGTACGTATGACATTGTCAGGTATACATTTATTTGCGAAAATTATTTTCTTGCAGGAACGTTAATATGCAGCTGAAAAGCTTGTTCGGCTCCACAAACAGAAAACTCCCTAACGAATATCCCAGCACGTTGTAGGTAGCAAACTTTCGTAGCTGACGTTTCGCTATGAGAACAACTTGAAATACCTATATGCAGGCAAACTTCTGGTTAAGACAAATTTTGATAGTATTTTGTCAAAACGAATGCCAAATCATCTGTTAATTAAAATACAGCCTAGTAATCGACGATAGAAAACTGCTAGAAACGTCGTTCTAATCATCGAACGTGGCGATAGTTTTTACTGTTTTTTGCTGCTTAAAGCTACAGCTATGAACTAATGGAACAAACGATTAAAAATACTTCAACTATATATATATATATATATATATATATCTAACCCATATGAAAAAATAAAGCTCAACGAGCGGATGGTAACGAATTTAGGAACCAGTAATGATAATAATTGTGGCTTGAAAGGCGAACGCGTTTTGTTGAAGGAAGGCAACATACCTTGGCAATAGTTACGCACAGAGAGAATGCTTATGGCACCCGTTAGTTCAGATAGGCCAAATTATGCTTACTCAAGTTCTATAAGGGAGTTAACGAGGTTCATAGGGAAGATTTCAGAAGCGGAAGGTATTCGTCTCTGTGACTCTAGAGCGTCCTTTTTAATTTTGCGAAAATGTCTTTCATTCACGAATCATACATGGTCGGCTCTTGCTGCTTTCACTCGGCACTGATTTGGTTAAGGTTCATAACTATATGATTGCAGGAGTCGGCGACGTGATCGTAGCAATGCAGTATGAGGGTCAGTCTCTATGGATGCCTATCATTTTACTTAATGTTATTGAAATTATAAATAACTTAGTCCACTATTAAATAAAGAGCCCAGGATTTGCTGTACCTACCTCTAATGCGGTAACAAACAAGAAATGGCTACGTTACATTATTGAGTTCGTTTCGACCTAGAAGCGAGGTTCCATAATTCTGGGCACTTCATGCTGGCTCGCGACATAAGACTTCGCTATATCGTAATGAGATCCTTCCGACATCCGACAGTCGATCTTCTTCTAGCAACTTCAATTACACTGCTCATAGAGCCAACATATGATGGCAGCAACGCTGACAGTCTTGCTGCGTCTATATAGGATTGATAAGGTAGCTAGCATTTATGAGTCTGTTCCTTTCTTTTACTGTATTACCATCAGTTATCGTCAACAACGGAGGAGCGTACCGACGCTACAGGTTCGTAGACTTTCCTTTAGTTTTGCTTTCTCCGCTTAACCTAATCAGACATGGCCCGCTCCTTTCGATTCTCTGCGTGGTTACCTTTTCTATTGCTTGTTTCAGATTACACTTCGCTTTCGGGGTGGTCTTAGGCACGGCACGTCCTCTAAACGCAGTCAAATACATACACGTATACCTATACCAGTGTAGCCAGACACAGGTTTACGTCTTCCCACCGTAAAAGAGCACGCCGCTGATATGCGTACGTTAGAGAGATCTATCTATTGTATAAGCGCACGCTAAGTATACACGACTATACAGGCAATAACATGTATGTAGGAACTCTAGCTTTTTAGAGCGGCGCTCCCATTTTCCGTGGTTTATTATGTATAATAAGCTATTATACTGCTCGTCCCGTTGTCCCCGAGTGTAGACGCTACAAAGAAAAGATTTTGAAAGTAAATGTGGCTCAATGACTTTCAACTTCGCCGGCCCACTACGGAGAATGTATCAATGCTTTTGAAGCCTATTCGATATGTTACATTCGCATGGGTACGTGTGCATATGTTGATGGCTGTAGAAAAAAATCAGAGAATCAACGATTATGTTTCTGTTTTTCCGTCTTTTTGCCGGCGTGATTTGAATACGTCCTTCAGTAGTCCGAAGTATCGACGACTTGAACAGCCCAGAGTGGTTGATGGTGGTAGCTGAGGTGATAACGCAAAAGAGGGCGAGTAACGCTACCAGAGAACTGAAAAAGGCGCACCCAGAAAATTGTTGAAGATCGACAAGGACTGACAACTGAGAAGATCAATCAGCTTTTGGAGCTTGTAACAATGATAACTGGCAACGTTGAGTAACAGACAGACAGACAGGGGGGTAAAAGATCCGCGCTTGTTCTCGAGGCTAACGTGCAACTCAGTAGAAACAGGCATAAACTGTAGGCCATCTGCTTGTTGACAAATACGCAAGATGACAGTACACGGAGTAACGCCCGTCCTAAACGAGCCGGATTCAAGGTCATCTAGCGGGATCCATTGCTCTGACTGATTAGGCATTAAGTCGCATATCCAATCTAAAGTTATTTTCGTGTATACACTGATAGCTTACGATGATGATGATGATGCATGACCACAAATCAAGTTCACGAATAAGTAGTGCTATAAAATTAAATAAGGCATGCGGTTTTAGTTATATTTTGTTTGTGCTTTGCTTACACGCAAAGCAAGACACTTTTTGCAAACCTATTTGAAAAAAGTTGATCTAACTTCAAAAGTTATAGTAACGTTATATGCAGCCAAGTTGCACCCTGCTTTAACCACCGACGGCCACAAGCGTATGCACGCTTTGTGTTAGGACACAACGTAGTGTTACTGTGGCAACATTTCCCGCCATATCGTGTCGTGCCCACGTTCCTCTTTCAGGCACGACGTCATCGGCTTTCACCTTACAGCAACGGAGAAACAATGTTCTGCATTTAATATCGCGACGTCTATACAATGTCTATGGCAGACTGAGAGTGATTTCGACATGTGAATCTAGTGGAATCTTTCTTTTTTCCTGCTTGCACCCTGTGCAGCTACAAGCGCCGTTCATCCCGAGGTAGTTCGCTGGCTCACTGTATAGCTGATCATCTATCTCGCTCAAACGCTCGGCGAATTTCAGCCGTTGCGGCGAAATCTTGCTTCACCGCCGTCGTCGATCGAGCTTCAACTCGATGAGTGTATAC